TGTTATTCGTCTCGCTCTCTAACAAGACAATAAATGAAATCGACTGTGACAGAGAGAGAATGTCTGGCTGTGATCTGGAGCGTGGCACGGATCTGTCTACTGGTGGAACACGGAGATAGCGAACTAAAGGAAGACGTGTATAGAGCTAAGGAGGAAGCTGGGTAGAGCTAACAGGAGAAGCGATAGAGAGAGCCGAGAAATTAAGAAAGGAACACAAGGAGGCCAAAAAAAAGCTGACGGCAGTAATAGAGAGGAGCAAGAGAGAGAAATGGAGAAAGGTGTGTAATGAATTGGACGAGGACATATGGGGCAAAGGGTATCAACTGGTGACGAGAAAGCTCAAGCTGAGACCTAACGTCCCACTCAGCAGGGAAACTGTAAATCTACAGGTGAAAAAACTTTTCCTGAAGGGGGTTGCGCCAATATGGGCCGCAGACACGATCACAAGGCCAGAAATAAAGAAGTGGAAGACCAAGGATCTAAAAAAACCTATCAAAGACCTGAAAGAGAAGAAATCCCCGGGGACGGATAACATCCCATCAGAAGTGCTGAAAGCGTGCATAGAAGAAGACACACCATTGATCCACAAGCTATATAACAACTGCCTCGAAAAAGGCGTCTTCCCAGACTGCTGGAAAGTTGCAAAACTCGGGAAGCCCAAGAAGAACACAGCGGCACCCCCGGCTTATAGACCGATTAGCCTGATAAACAGGGGGAAAATTCCTAGAGATTTTAATAAAAAGAAGATTGCTGACCGAAATTGAAGAGAAAAACCTGATAAACAGAAACCAGTTCGGATATCAGAAAGGTAAATCTACCATAGATGCACATATACAAAAAATAGCGGAGGACATAAATAAGAAAGCGAGTAAGAACAGGGATTTCTGTGTCATGGTGCTCCTAGACATAGAGAATGCCCTCAATACTGTACCGTGGAGGGGTATCATTGACACTCTGACAAAGGGAGGCATAAGCGAGGATTTAATAAGGATTATTAAGTCATACTTAAGCAACAGAACCATCATAACACCAGCTGGGGATAAAGTGAAGCTCTCTTGCGGGGTGTCACAGGCCTCTATAATGGAACCAATTCTGTGGAACCTATTCTACGACGAGATATTAAGAATGAATCTGGGCAGGGAGGCGAACATTGTGGCTTATGCGGACGATCTAGCGGTAACCATCAGGGCTAAAGACAAAGCGACGCTCGAGGACAGAGCACAAACTACAGTGGCAAGGGTCATAAACAGATTGAAGGATATGGGACTCAAAGTGGCAACTGCCGAAACAGAGATGGTGCTTCTGGCAGGTAGACGAAAGATCAGAGAACTGGAGATTATGATAGGTACAGAAATAGTTGTAACCTCAAGCCCGGTCAGGTACCTGGGGGTTCGCCTCGACAAAGATTACAAGATGATAAAGCACATAATAAAAATCACAGAAAAGGCGAATACGATGATTAACTGCCTGAGTCGAATCCTCCCTAAAATCGAAGGGCCTCGACCAGCGAAGAGGAGACTGCTAGCCAGTAAGGTCCAGTCGGTGATACTGTACGCTGCACCCACGTGGATTAAAGCCATAAAACACAGAAAGTACGCGAACATGCTGGAAAAAGTCAACAGGAGGCTGTGTATTAGTATAGCGTCGGCCTACCGCACGGTGCCGACGGAGGCGGTGCAGGTGATAGCAGGGACGATGCCCCTGGAATTCTGGCTGGAGAAAGAGCGGACATACATGTAAGGGGTAGAGAATACAGACAAGAGGCACGCCAAAAGTCAAGGGAGAGATGAAGACTGAGATGGCAGGCTTATCGGGGATGGGCCAAGTACTTTATACCGGACCTAGACAAATGGCTGGATAGGAAGTGGGGAGACATGAATTACTACGTCACTTAGGCGATGACAGGGCATGGAGTTTTTAATAGTTTCTTGAAGAGGATAAAGAAGAAGGACAATGATAAGTGTTGGTACTGTCTTCAGGAGGACAATCCCGAACACACGCTGTTTTACTATACAAAGTCTGAGGACATCAGGAGTGTAACAGAGAGAGTTTGTGGGATGAAAATCACAAAGGAAAATGTGGGTCCACTGTTGGTAAGGAGAGCGGAGGACTGGTGCGCAATAACGGAGATTCTGGAGGAAATCATGAAAGCGAAAGCAGCAGAGGAGCGTGGACGTGAACTAAGCCAATAGCGTGGATTAGATGGACAGCAGAAATATGGCGTAGGAGGGCATAGAAAGCAAGCACCTGAAGTATGCCGTATGGTGTTTCCATATACACAAGAGAAGGGGGCGCCATTATCTGACTTTCCCGAACTTTCTCCTTCTGTCGAAGATTGGAAGATAGTGGTCTCGAAAGAGAATAGAAATGAGATTGTATGTGTCTTCAAACCTATGGCAAGATTCGACAAATTTATTTTTGGCCTAAGATGCGAGCTGATGTTGCCCGTTATGTGAACATCTTGTGCTCAAAGTGAAGTTTTCTAATCTAATGGGCGAACGTCCAGATATTACCGAACCGTTTTAGACCATAAGTTTGGATTATGTTGGTGCTTTGCCTCGATCAAAAAAGGGATTCTAGTAATTTCCAACTATTTCAGTACAGCGACGTTCTTGTACCCTTGCCGCTCGACTAAAGCCAAATCTCTACTGGAGCACGTGGAATGTTTTTGCCTACTCTATGGGCGCTGCCATTTTTCTGACCTGTGATAATGGGGTCCAGATGAAATCGAGAGGTTATGTGAGCGTCACAAATCTCGTATATCTTCTATACGGCAAATTATAATCCTCGAGCTAACCATTTGGAAAGGCAAAACCGCGTTATTAAAACTAAGCTTCGGACTTATGTTCGCCAAGAGGATCACCGCTCCTGGGATGAATACCTTAATGAAATTGCCTGTGTAATTGGAACTGCACCTGATGAGACAACCTGGCCTATTGGGTTGGAGTAGAGCGGTAAAAACGAGCTATCTGCGGCCAAGCAATATGGAGCCAGGTTGCAAGTTGGATGGGTGACTGTCGTGGAGACCCATATAGCCAAGTTCTAGGTCGGTTTTCGCCACTCAAGGCGCATCGGTGAAGCGTGTGTCGAGCTTCCAACTTGTAGAATGAATGAGGAGTAGGGCATGTGCAAGGATACATAATAAATTTTAAAATAAGTCTGCAGTGCTGAGCATATGCCTAAAAGAATGAGCAAATGGTCTAATGGTCTAGTGAGACAACCGGTTATTCTCCATACTTTGTTTTATTTGGACGACAGCATAAACTTTTCGGGTCCGATTTTAGAAATGTGTTGTCATCTGCTGCTCCTGATCTCGAATCTTACATAAAATCACGGCGGAATAACACACCAGGGCTCAGAATGCCCATAGATATATCTCTTAATCTTACCACATACCTTACTTCAATTTGATCTTGTCTCTCTTCACGCTGTCTTACCTTGCATCCATATCTTTTTTCACCTTGCTTTATCTTATAGTTTATATTATCTCATAGTACCTATATATTTTCTGTTCCACAATTCTTAATTTTATTTATTTTTTTAATTGTTCTTATTTTTTTTTTTTCACTTACCTGGATTATAGGTTTCCTCTCATATCTAATTTTTTTAAGTCGTCGTCGGTAAAGTCTTTCTGTAACTTTCCTTCCTATCTTAGGAGAGGGGGAGTTTGTAACAGAGCAAAGTTACCATATAGCCTGATTTCTTCTAATGGCCAAAGTACTTCAAAAATCCATTCATCATTATGAGGTTCAGATAGCAACCTGCCTTGTACCAGTCAGTGGCGTCCAAAAAAACCCACCCTACTCACCGAATTTTGGTTTCTGAGCTAGGGCCCAATTTGCGACGCTCCAAGACACTCATAAAACTGAATAATTTCAAAGTTTTAGGTTTTCAATTTTTTTTTGGCACACTTCATTATTTTATTGCTGCTTTGTTGAAAAATCCTATAAATTGCATCTCGAATCTAGGGGGTTTCTCTTTCACTTACTGAATACTATGCTCAGAATTCTGTTCAGATTTGTCACTACCAGACTCACTACTTTCATATAGGAACAATAAAACTTCATTTATTTTGAATTAGTAATGTTTATTCTAACTACAATAATTATAACATATAATTATTATTTTTTTTTTCAATATAGTTTCATACCTATTTAAAACATTTTTTTGATTGTTGACACATCTAAATAATTAAAAACCACTGGAAAGAGAAATTAAGACAAAATAAATGATTAGATAATTATTAATGGATATTGAATAATAATAATAAATATGGCAATATTAAAAAGCTTCTATGGAGATTCACGAGATAAATAATAAAAATAATGTCTATTAATTATATATTTTTTTTTTACAATAATAATAATTTTTACCCTGCATTCTAGCTAAAACATAGAATGATGCGACAATGTTAGTGTGATAATATTATGAATTATTATAATAGAAATAGAGAAAATGCAACACCCAAGAAAATTATGAATAATAATTATAATATTTTGTTCTCTAATTATTAGTTTTGGCCTATTACAAGTCGATTTTTGTTAATTTTTCATAACAAAAACACTAACAAAGTCCAGTTTTGATGAAACAAATATACTATAGTGAAAATGTTGATATTTTGAATATCGACACTTCACAAAATATTTTTTTTTTGTATTATTTATAATATATTTTTATTTTTTTTTAAATATTGATTAGTTACAGGCACACTTAGTGTAACTAAAAATTGAATGATATATACAGATATAGGTACGTAAAATTACATAAATTTACAGGGTGACTAATAAATTGTTTCAGATTTTTGTCTTTTATATCACCCTGTATGCCCTGTAACATTTAAAACAGAAAATTATCAAATAAAAGGACTAGTAAAATGAAAAATTTAGGAATTAATATTTATAAAAACCAAATCGAATTTCAAATAAATTTGTTCAATACTGTGTGTAAATCGAATTTCGTATAGTGATGTTTTCTGTTTTCCTCAATATTCGGTTAAAAATCTAGACAATATTGGGTTTGATTCCGTTAGATGTCAGCACTTTATTGACAAAATTAACGATTGCTGTTGCTGGCTGGTCCGGGTCCAGTTCAGCAAACAGATGGCACTGGTTGTCTGGGTTGCTGACGTTCGGTTTTCTTGCGACGAATCCAAAAATACGACTGGAAAAAAATATATTCAAGATTAATTAACCAATGGATAGATTAGATAGTGTTAGGATTTTCGAAAATATTTTTTAGGGGCTTCAAATCTTTAATATAATCGAAGTTTTTACAGTTTTCAATAACTCTAATTCAAGAGCCTTCAAAAATCTTTGAAGTATATAAATTTTTCAGCGGCTACAATGAAAGTTTTTAAAAGCTTTTAGTCTTAAGTCTTGTAGCAGCACAGTCTTTGAAGTTTTCATGTTAAATTCTTAAGAAATTACCAGAGTGTATTGCCAAGTTATGAGTTTTTATACCCTTCAAAATCTGTAGAAGCTCTTCGAAGTTTTCAGAGTCTTAGAAGAGCAATAAAAAGTCTCTAGATTTTTGGGAAGTTTTGGAATTTTCGAACAGCAAATTAAATGAGAGATTTTAAAGTCCCCTTTAAAGAAATACTTCCGAATCGCTTTTTGCTTGATGATTTGGTTTTAATATCAAAATTAATCTCAACAACAGATTTAGAGAAAATATATTTCAAAGTCTCCTTCACTTTTTTGAAGATTCCGAGTAAGGTTCTTCTTCCTTTATTTCCAGTTTAGGCTTGGTATCATGAACAAGGCTCAGAAAATTCAATTCAAATTAAGTCTTTTTCACTTCTTTCAATGATCCCGAAAAGTTTTTTTGATTCAAGACTGGTTTGATATCAAAAATAAAATCAGGAGATTTAAGAAGACGAGATTTCCAAGCCTTTTCCACTTCTGATGATTCCGCATGAGGTTTTTATTCCTTCATTTCATATTTTAGGCTTGATATCATGAAGAAGGCTCAGAAAATTTTAAAGTGTCCTCTCTCCTTTCTTGATTCAAGATCAAGTTTGATATCAAAAATAATCTCATGAGATTTAAAAAGAAGAAATTTCAAAGTTTCTTTTGATGGATCTTGTGTGAGGTTTTTCTTCTTTTATTTCAAGTTGAGGTTTGGTATCATGAATAAGGCTCAGAAGATTCAATTAAAGAAGATTTTGAAGTCTTTTTCACTTCTTTCAATGATTTCGAATCTTTTTTTTTTGATTTAAGATCAGGTTTATCATCAAAATCAATCTCAGGAGATTTCGAAAGAAGAAATTTCAAAATTTTTTTCACTTCTTTCGAGGATTCCGCGTAAGGTTCTTCCTTTATTTTCAATTTCAGGCTTGGGTATCATGAACAAGGCTCAGAAGATTTAATGAGAAGATATTTAAAAGTCTCCTTTACTCCTTTCAATGATTCCGAATCTGTTTTTGATTCAAGATCAGGTTGAATACCAAAAATAACCTCAGGAGATTTGAGAAGAAAGAAATTTCAAAGTTCCTTTCACTTCTTTTGAGGATTTCACGTAAGGTTCTTCTTCCTTTTCAAGTTTGGTTAGTTTCATGAACAAGGCTCAGAAGATTCAATGAAGATGAAGATCCTCAAGTCTTTTTCACTTCTTTCAATGATCCCGAAAAGTTTTTTGATTCAAGACAGGTTTGATATCAAAAATAAAATCAGGACATTTAGAAAGAAGAGACTTCCAAGTATTTTCCACTTATGATGATTCCGCGTGAGGTTTTTCTTTCTCTATTTCAAGTTTAGGCTTGATATCATGAAGAAGGATCAGAAGATTTTGAAGTCTCCTTCATATTTTTCAATGATTCCGAATCATTTTTTTTTATTCAAGATTTGGTTTGATATCAAAAATAATCTAAGGAGATTTGGCAAAAAGAGATTTGAGTCTTCTTATATCATTTGATGATTCAACATTGCATGACACGTTTTGGCAAACGTTCATGTGTCCAGAAAAACCAAAAGTTTCCTCCTTACCAGAAAAGATGAGAGGTCAAATGTATGGTTGACCTTGTCCTTCTTATAAAGGTCCAAGTCTAACGACAACCATATAACATATCATTATAGGTAAATCGTTTTACCTGTAATGATATGGTATTTATATGGTTGTCGTTAGACTTGGACCTTTATAGGAAGAACAAGTTCAATTAACAATCTAAGACAAAGGGCTTTGGATAGAGTATATAATGAATATAAAACAAAATCTGAGACAAAGGGAAACACTCCGAATAGAAACAAGAACCAAACTGAAGGATGTTACCTTAAAAATCCCCCCTCTATTCTAAAATGGAGTTTCATACAATGAAGACCCGCTGCTTCGCATAGATCAAGGCGCAGACGAAATATATGATGGATAGACATTCTCAACCTAACCGCAGGATTATAGTGGAAATAGGTGGCGCAAAATGGAAATCGCTGGCAAGATTTGGGAAAAGTTCATATGTAAAGAAGATCTAATGGAGAAGATGGAATATTATTAGGGAGATTCAAGGAAATCGGAAGCAATGATTCAAAGAGACTAACTACTGTTTACAACTTTTCCAAATTTGTCGTTAAAGTCTGATATTAGCTCTTGATAAACAAAGGATTTTGTGATAGTTGTACATACATCGGGAAAAGACTAATCTGAGAGTTATAGCATTTTAAATAAAGTATTTAGGACTACAAAGTAGTTTATCTCTTCTCCACGATTGACTAAAACAGGAATTCGAAATCACTGTCTTCTTAATTTAATCGTGAGACTGTAACTTTTAGTTCCATGAAGATTTGAGGTTAGATGTGCGAGCATATGCTTTAAACAAATGAGTGAACAAATTGTGGAAAAGTGGTGTAAATTTTGTAAAAAATCTTCAAAATCCTTGTTTGAATGTTCAGTTTGCTACTCAGCATTTCACAGGAGCTGTGGAATCCAGTATAAAGCTTTGAATAAGGAAAACTCAGTGCTTTGTTGTAAAAGTGGGGTTAAGGTAGCAGAGGACATAGATATAGGAGCTTCTGAACTAATGATACAAAAAGAATTCAAGGCTTTTGAAAGCAGAATCAATAAACAACATGAGAATGATATAAATGAATTTAGAAAAAGCCTGGATTTCATGTCACAAAAATGTGAAGAACAGGAAAAATTGTTCGAGGACAGCATGGTGCAGGGAATTGCAGAGCAAAATAGATTACTAGGCAAGAGTGTTAAAACTCTTGAATACAAATTAAATACTCAGAAGAAAAATAATATTTTGATAACGGGAATTGGTTTTCAAGAGAACAAAACAGTGAACGAAGTAGTATGGCAACTTTTGGAAAAGATGGAACTTAACTTGAAGGAAGAAAATATAACTGAATCAATACCAAAAATCCTGGAAAACCAATTCTTTTAAAATGTAAAAATTTTGAAGTAAAAAGGAAGGTCTCGAGATTATAGTTAACTTCGACGCTTCGCGTTTCAGTTAGCTAACTAATTTCTCAACAGTAATGAAACACTTCCCACCTCGGTATGTAATATACTATTATTATAATTATACAAAAATATTGACCAAAACAATAAATAAGGCCAAAGCAGATTTTTATAAGGAAAAACTAAGGGAAAATATTAAAGATCCCAAAAAACCTGGGATTACATAGAATGTGCCAACAATGACATAAAAAAAAAAACGTCAGACATAAAATGTGTGAGACTGGAGAGGTCATCGTCAATTCGTCGTAAATCAATCTCTCGTACATCAATTCATCGTACGCCAATTCGTCGCAAAGTCAATTCGTGGTATGCGTGAATAAGTCGTAAAGTCAATCCGTCGTATACGTCAATTCGTCATAGAGTCAATTCGTCGTATACGTCATTTCGTCGTAACGTTGATTCGACGTATACGTCAATTTGTCGTGAAGTCAATTTGTCGTATACGTCAATTTGTCGTAAAGTAACCTCGACTTCTTCGTATTCAGGAGTAAATTGGGTCAAACATCCCTGTCGGCATAAAAGCAACTGAATCCTATGCATCACTAGTGACTCATGTGGTAGCCAACGTATCAATAATTTGCAATTTTAATCAGCCATTATCAAACTTACCAATAATAAGCCGGTTAGTTTGGGTTAGATGTGAATTGCAAACTAACCTGGTTATTATCGGTAAGTTTGGTTATTTCTGATTAAACAAAAAAAGTGCAAATTTATACATTTCAACATTATACCTGAAATACGACGAATTAACAATACGACGAATTGACGTGTACGACGAATTAACGTGTTAATAGCTTGCAATTTTAATCAGACATTATCATACTTACCGAATATTTATAACCCGGTTAGTTTGGGTTAATTTGCAATGTTATGTCTGAATAAAATTGCAAGCTAACCCAAATTAACTGGGTTATTATCGGTAAGTTTGGTAATGTCTAATTAAACGAAAAAGTGTTTTATACATTTTAACTTTTCAACATTATACCTGAAATACGACGAATTGTCGTATACGACGAATTATACCTTTACGACGAATTAACAATACACCGAATAGTTTAATTAATGTGGAGTATATTGCCTCAAAATTAGGAAAACTTGTTTATAAGTTCTATGAGTTGACAGATATATTGAGTAGTGGAGCTTTAAAAATGGTATATCAGGCCCTTGTGGAGTCAGTAATAGGTTATTACCCGAGTCAAGATAGCATTTGACCTAGACAAAAATAATATAAAGCTGATTTTTGATAGAGATCATGCCTGATGGCTAAATTGCAACATACTGAAAGTCCTGGTCATTCCTCCTTCCGCAACCCCATTTTTTCGTCCCCTAACCCCCACCCTTTTAATATTTTGGTGATTTTCTCGAAAACTATCCATTTAAGGAAAAATGTCAAGAGAGCATTTTTGAAGCTGACAAAATTTCCCTTGCAACCTTGCAAGGGCTACTTTTAAAAACTATACTTTTTTATTCACAGTTTTTCTGATCTAAGCATCATTTTTTTTAGAAGAAACATATTTTTCTCTAAAACGACCATTAAAATGAAGTCTACTTGCGAATCTATAAAAAGTTTATCGCAAGTACTTCAACCATAAAAAAAGTTTGTCCGAGACTTCTCAGCTATCAATTTGCCAAATGACAGGGGCGCCTGTAACGGGTCACCGTCAATTCGTCGTAAATCAATATGTCGCAAGTCAATTCGTCGTACGCAAATTCATCGTAAAGTCAATTCGTCGTATATGTCAATTCCTCGTAAAGTCAATTTGTCGTACGCGTCAATTCGTCGTAAAGTCGATTCGTCGTATAGATAATTCGTTGTATACGTCAATTTGTCGTATTTCAGGTATTATGGTAAAATATTGAAATGTACAAATTCACACTGTCTGGTTATTTCAGACTGTACCAAACTTACCGATAATGAACCGGTCAGTTTGGAATTTGAATCAGACATTACATTGCAAACTAACCGGGTTATTATCGGTAAGTTTGATAATGTTTGATTAAAATTGCAAACTATTAACACGTTAATTCGTCGTATACGTCAATTCGTCGAATTATTAATTCGTCGTGTTTCAGGTACAATGTTAAAATGTACTTTTACTGTTTAATCAGACATTATCAAACTTACCGATAATAACGACGAATTACCTATATTGTCGTATACGTTACTTTACGACAATTTGGTAAGCTTGATTAAATAGAAAAAGTGCAAATTTATACATTTTAACATTTACCTAAAATACGACGAATTAACGCTACGACAAATTGACTTTACGACGAATTGACTTTACGGCGAATTGACGTGTACGACAAATTGACTTTACGACGAAATTACGTTTACGGCGAATTGTCTTTACGACGAATTGACGTAAACGACGAATTGACTTTACGACGTATTGACTTACGACGAATTGACATAGATCCGCCTGTAACAGGGGCTCCTAGCGCCCCGCGCGACGTTGAGGTAGGTATCTTTTTCATCTTGGCTACGCTTGTGCAACAGAGTCCAAAATGGGAAGCGAGTTTGTCACGTGCTTGCCTCATATTTACATTCAGGGTTGGGACTCTGTGAATGAATAGAGACATTTTCTCTATTTCTATAGACGTCCTCTCACTATTTAATATCTCTGTTCCAACAGACATGAGAACCGTTCCAGAACCAGTAATTTCCAGTAGCCCACCTATTTTTCAATAAGTTGAACGTTTATCCTAATTGACAAATGAATTGATCTACTGGAAATTACCGTTCTAGAATGGGTAGAGCACCAAAAAATAATAGTAAGTTTACTTCATCCAGCCACGAGCCGGACGGTGGAAAAGTATATGCAACAACTGAGGTACAAAAAGCAATAGAAGATATGAAAGAAGTTATTCTCTTTGCTCATGCAGTTTCTGGCTGCGACAAAACATCTGCCTTATACAGAAAAGGGAAAAAAATTGTATAAATGCAGTTACAGAAAAATCCCACCTTAAGGAATACGGTTTGCGAGATATTAAATGTACCTATAATCAATTACAAGTAAATGTGATTTAATGTGGGAAGGAGTTTGTCAGATTTCTTTATCCTGATGGTACAAAATTTAATGATATCAATGGCCTTCGCCATCATCTTTATAATAAAGCAGTGGCAAGACAATCGCCTTCTGCACTCTGCATTCCTAGAGTTATCAAGTTTGCCGCACACAGAAGCAGTCTGTGCCCAACATTCACTGAGAGCATACCTTCAGGTGAGCAACGGATATACAAAAACTAACTTGTGTTTTTTATATGCATTTCTATTGTTTTCGCCAAAAGTGTAGCACATTTTGTTCCCCTTGTAATGGTGGAACATGCAATAATATTATGGAAACCGTTACAGAGGATTCTACTACAGAAAAACAATCAATCAGAAGGAACACAGAAAGAGAGATCCGATTTGCTTTTCTATGACCTTGAACCGGACTAACAGAGGAAATATCAGTGGCGCACACTGGTAAAACCGTCTTCCAACGACATTTAATGTCAAGAATACTGATAAAACTAACTAGTGACTGTGATGTGTGACGCGCTACCACTGAACATATTTCTTCCGTTGCCCGTGGCTTCCTCCGTGACAATCGGATCTCTCTTTCTGTGTTCCTTCTGATTTTTTGTTATTCTGTGCGGTTCTATTCTTGAGAAAGATGTTTAAGATGCTGTTTTGAAACTAAATAAAAACTTAAAAAATTAATTAAACAGCAGTTTCGATATTTTTCGTTCTATAGGGGGTCGTTTTATACATCAATGGATTTGCAATTTTATCACCTACAAAAAAATCGGTAACGATATTTTTCGCCAAGCTTATAGTTTTTGGTAAAAATCAGTAAATTCGTGTCATTCAAGAACTTTCAAATAATCTCGGGACAAACTTTCTTTTGATACGCCACTGGTGTGTACCACGAGATAATATATGGGCTCGCAGTACGTTATTGCAAGGAAAATTTTGTCAGCTTCAAAAATGCTTTCTTGACATTTTTTCTTAAAGTAGATAGTTTTCGAGAAAATCACCAAAAGATTAGAAGGGTAGGTTTGGGGGGCGAAAAAAGAGGGATGCGGAAGGAGGATTTTCAAGGACTTTAAGTATATTAATATTGAGCCCTAAATTATTATATATACCAAAAATTAGCTTTACATTATTTTTGTCTAGCTTTACCCAAAATTTGAACTTTGACTAGGGTATATGGTCTTATTTGTTGGGGAGCTGCCTGTAAAAGTATTATAAATTCAGTAATAATTGCACAAAAATACATACTAAAAGTCATGCTAAAAAGAGGAAAACTATTTCCTACTGATCTCTTATTTAAAAGTACGGACTTACTAACTGTGAGATAATTATATTTGAAAAACATTATTAGGTTTGCACATAAAACAAATTTATTCCCATCTTCTGTTAATCATGATATTAAAACCAGAGCAATATCGAACTTAAATGTTTCTTACGAAATACAAAAATTTGCCATAGCCCAGAGATCTATCAGATATATCTGCCCCAAAGTGCTAAATACTTTGCCCCTTAAATTTAGACAAAATCAATTCAGAGAATTTAAATATTGGAGCAGGGAGTTAGGTGAGTGGCTAAGAACAAACTATGAAAGAATAGAGAAAATATCAGTTTTCCTATTGTAATAATAATATTAGTGAAAAAAAAAAACTGTGTGTTTCTGTTATGTATTTCATTTCTTTGAAATAAATGATTTGATTTAATTTTGATTTGGACGATTTTTTCCAATTTCTCCACTCAGAGATCATCTTCATCATAATGTGAGTCATCGACGAGTGAACAAAAATGAGGGACCAAACAATCATCCAATTAATGAGTTTATAAATAGGAACCCGCAAAGAATAGTTTCGGCAATTTCTAAAAGGAGTGTATCCTGGCAGATTGGAAATTACCCTTTGAATATCAGAGTGATAAAACTTGAAAGTCAATATCATAATGTCTTCTTGTCTACTTCCTTAACAATAAAACAATAATTCAATTATCACTCACTTTGAACTTTTAACTGATCCATTTTCTTCGGCATTCACCAACCACCTGTGCTCCTCAGGATCGACTCCGCAATGCGAAATCGTATTAATGGGATAATGTTTCCTGAAGAACAACTTCCTCTTGTTGTCCGTCAACGTGATTCCTTGCCCGTTAACTTTGAAATGAACCACCACCGACTCAGGAGCCGGAGATTTTTGGAACAGCTGCATTACTGACTTTTTCACTGCCTGCGGGCCCGTCAACGATTCCATTTCCAATGTGCAAAGATAGAGCACGTTGCAGGCAGCTCCTTGAATCTGGATTTGTTGCTGGATGGCTTGAGACTGGATTTTACTATCGTATCTGAGAGAATTATTCAATTCAAATTAATGTTGATGTAATAATGATAGAAAAAAGTTACCTTAAATCTCCTTCAGGCAAAATCAATCTGCAAGGTAAAGCAATTTGGGTGATCGAGTGCTGATAAATCAATGCTGACAACGAGCTAAATACTGGTTCATCTGGGCAACCCTTTAGACGTACCCCTTTGGACGTTGGTTCGATTAAGAAGTGACGTATTAGCTCATCAGAGCCGTTATGCTTGTTTTGTAAGTTGGTTGGTACTGTGGCCACTCTCAGTGCTAAACCGAAAGCGCCTGGGAAGGAGTTGGAGTCTCTCACGATAAAACTGCCAGGCGATTGGTCACGTAACATACTGATAGCTGAAATAGAATAATATATGAGTCACCAAGTCAATTAAAAACTTGAAGAAATGAAGCTTAGTTATAAGTGAAACATCCCAGTTACCTTCTTCTCTAGAAATTGCTGGTTTATACCAAAACTTGCTGGTATCTCTAACGATCTTTACATGAGCAGCAGATACTTCTTGTAATGATTGATCGTTGGCACTGGAAGCAATAGATCCTCGTCTCGAATGTCCATAATAAACTGTGGGCGATGAAGCGCCATTTTGTTCTCTATATCCTGTAGCTGAAACGCTTCTTTGTGCAATTGTGTGTCTGTATTCACTGTCAGATGCGCCACTGTTCAGGTCCGATGGTGAGGTCGGTCGGTCCTTTCTGTGGTAAGTAAATCGAATTTAAGTTTTCAGTGTTGAAGCCAAGATTGTATGTACGTCATGCTGAAGAGATTTTATAGTTTGAAATTGGTGCAAATTATATTGAATTAGTTACAGTTTTACATTGATTATTTCGAAAACCCTCTTATGGTTTTTTGGTTACTTTCGTAAAATTATAAAAAATAGTGCAAAATGACATGCTCAATAATTGAGGTGCTGACAAAAAAGAAAAGGCCTCTTAGAGCAATGTTGATTAAAATAATATGGAAGCGTTGTGGAAGACAATGAAGAGAAATCTATAGTTCCCATGGAATGAATGGAGTTAGTTACAGAAAAATTGAACTGATGAGAACTGATAAGTTCGAAAAAACATTGAACAAAAGTCTCCCTGTATAGATATATATATTTAAAAATCTAAACAGTGAATCTAAACTATTCTAAACATCGAATCATGCCACATGTTGTTTCCCATCTATAGAGAATACTACTTTACCTCTCAGGGGAAAGGGACCATTTGGCATTTTTAGTAAGTATCGCTGATGGAAAGCTTAACCGGCTATAAAGACAAATTTCAAATTTACATACGATAACACTAAAGTAAATGTGAAAATCAAAACTCAGTTTTGCTTACCGTTGGGTTGTAGGACTTTTAGGCGGAAGGCGCTCGTGGGACAAGTCAAACTGCACGGAAGGCGTCGAAGCGTTGAGGTAAGGCGTCCTCGCTAGCACCGGAAATGCTGGCGTTTGCGGTCTGGGAGACGAACTGTGTGAAGGCGATGTGTCAGCATCGTTCGGAGTAGATGGTGATCTCCAAGCGTAAGAAGACTGCTCATACTAGAAAATTCAAATAAGTTAACAGGAGCCAAATTTTACTGTTTTGGTTGATTTCTGGATCAAGTTGTTTTAAAACAAGCAAAATAATTTAGCATAATCAAAAACAAAACAAAATTATATTCGTGCAAAGAAAAAAAAGAAGTGTGTTAGTACCTGCGACCATGCTGTGTTGTTAGGACTGTTACTAGAGTGCTCAGAACCGCTGGAAAGGTTAGCGATCAGATCGTCAAGCGCGTCAAGCCGCGAGTTCTCGTCTTTTAGAGAATTACTATCGCCATTGGAACCGTTCGAAATACCCACCGATTGTTGATTGTACCGGGACGGTTCCGGTGTACTCGAGTACTGTCGCTGCTGCTGACCGGAATATTGATGGGACTTTTGTTCGACAAGTGATAAAAGTCCGCTGTCCATCTGGTCTTGGCCTGTGCCTCTCGAAGGCGGCCGGACTATTTGGCCGAGAGGATTGGCTGCTAGGGCTGCTGCTGGGTTGTTGCTCTGGAATGGTTAGTTTGTTTTTTGGTGATGGTATATATTACAGTGATGGAATTAAAGTGAGTAAACCACTGATTTGAGATTGGTACTAGAAAGTTTAAAGAAGTCTGGAATAATAATGATACTAGAGGAAAGTTTCAATCTTCACCCAAGGAAGTACTGAGAAAGGTAAGAGAAGTTTGGTAGAAATCTAGTAAACCATGAGGAAGTTCAAATAAATTAAATTTTAATGAATATTATACAAACTATTTCCAACTTAAAATAAGTGAGTTAACTGATAATAAGTTTGTACTAGCACTAATATCTAATCTGAATTAAAAATGTCTTGACAGTTTGATTCCTGTTCCTTACCTGTGCATATTTTTCGTGCGCCCTTTTAACAGTCATAAAAGGTCTTTCGTTTTTTGTCAGCGTCGAATAGTTGGACTTCAAAGTGCTGTACTGGGATGAACTTGGAGTACCGCCATTCCTGTGCATAGTGTTGATGTGTAGAGGAATAGTGTAATCATCATCGTCGTCTGCGAAAGCTGTTGTGTCACTAGTATAACCATCTAAGAAAGGAAAAGCAATAAGAATTAGTTGAACTGAATCATTTTGAAGGGTTTTATGAATGGAATAAAGATACCAATTCTCACCTAATCTGTGACTGGCTGTAGGTCTCATATGTCTACTTTGAACTTGTCTCAATTCAGAGAACAATCTTGTCTCATGAGGCTGGCGTTCCTCACGTAACCTCAACTCTCTTCGTTCTTTCAGTTTTTGTTGCTGTCTTTGTAGCCATGTTAGGTTATTTCCATTGGTGTATCTGAAACAAAATGACTTCATTAATAATCACTAATTACAAATTTCAACAAAATATCATATTGTTATAAACCCGCCACTCGTCTTTTTTGATTGCCCCCTGTAACTACAGTTTAAGAAGCCAGAAAATTCGACTATTTTCAAGATGAACTGAATCACGAAAATTCGAGCGTGTTAGAGAAGGACGCACATAACTATAAAAACCCCGGTGCGCACCGCGTAAGGCAGTCCTGATTGACGTACGACAAGAGCAGTAAACTGTAAAGTCAGGAACTAAATAACCACGTTCCAAAATATCGTGCCGCATTAGCTTTATTTGGAGTAGTTCGTAGTGTGAAGTAGTGTTAAATTTCGTGTGATTTTTATGTTATTGTGTTTAATAAAATTCGTTGAAGTTCGAAAAAGTAGTCTCACTTATCTGCGAACCCGTATAAGTAACAATTGGTGTCAGAAGTGGGATAAGTGAGTAAAGAAATTTGCATTCATGGTGAATACGAGAAAACAAACTACCGAAATGGAAGAACAGCTAAACCAGGTGCTCGCTTTGTTGACACTTGCGGACGAGAAACAAGAAGGACGGGAACGACTAGAAAATCCTTCAAGAATAAGAAGACAAGCGACAACTAGAACAGGATCGACTACAGAAAATCCTTCAAGAACAAGAAGACAGGCGACAACTAGAATATGACCGACTAGAGAAAATCCTCCAAAAACGGGAAGACAGGCGACTTAAAGAAAAACAGGAAGAAGCGGACAAGCGACAGCAAGAGCAAGACCGGCTCCAGAAAATTCTACAAGAACAAGAAGACAGACGACAGAGGGATATTGACAGGATCGCTGGGTTGTTCCAAAACATCCAACAAGAAGTCAAAGGCAAAATAGAAACGGTTCGAGAAGAAGTCAAAGGCGAAATGGGGACGATCCGAGAGGAATTCGAGAAAAAATATAGAAAACTGGAGAACGCGAAGAACCCAATATCAACGAAAGTACCAGCACAATGGATGTATCGGTGAGCCCAATCGTACGCAGCCAACTCAAACCACCAGCTTTTGACTGCGAAACATCATGGTCCATATATAAACGACAGTTTGAGGCCGCTGCTAGTGCAAATAAATGGGATGACCAGCAAAAAGCAACATCATTGGTACTTGCACTACGAGGAAAGGCGCTTGAAATTCTTCAAAATATTCCCGAGGCAAAACAAAGTGATTATGCAGCTCTTGTAGAAGCCTTAGAGCTGAGGTACGGAAACAGATATCTCAGCCAGAGTCAACTCAAAAGCGGAGTCCAAGGTCCATCTGAGACACTGCAGGAATGTAGTAGCGACATCGAGAAAATGGTGAGATTGGCGTATCCACAAGCTCCTGAAGACTTTATTGAACAGATAAATGTCCAGTACTTTATCGACCTTAGCTGACATCGTTGTCCATGCATTGGAATATGAAGCTGCCAAAAATCGAAGAATCAAGATCAGGGAAGTGGAGATAGCAAAGGATCGCCCAAACTCAGACGCAGATATGTTCCTAAAACTGGAGGCGCTGTTTCAGGAATTCTACGCGAAGTTAGACCAAGAACCAAGAGCCAGAAAACAGATCAACTGCTACAACTGCGGCCGAGAAGGACATATTATCAGAAACTGTAAGTGACGTTCCCGAAAGCGGAGGAAGAAGGTGGTTCCAGACATCATCAGGGAAATGACACCTCGCCAGTGTAAGGGGGCGAATGCTGGCGACCACCGATTCTCGAGCCCCTAAAGTAAGGGTGTTCTCCATCAAGAATTGGGAGTCTCGTTGCTCAAGGCACCCTCAACGACAATAAATGTGATTTGACCATCGACACAGGGGCATCAAGAACAGTGGTTCGCCCCGACAAGGTTTCTAAGGACTCTGTAATGATGATGAGAAATATTGATAAATGTTTTTGGAGAGACCACCGTGACATTGGGAATAGGCAGCACCGAACTTAAGGTAGAAGTGATAGTTCCTGACATAGTGGATGAATTTATATTGGGAGTGGATGTCCTAGAAACCTTTGATTTCCTATCAGTGGACTTAGAGATAAAAATAAAATGTTTAGAGTGGGGAACGAAGAAATACTCTTCTCATCACCGTTAAATAAGGACTGTCAAATTAGAATAATCGTTGATGAAGATACACGAATAGATTGTATTTCACGAGGGTTAAGTCCCAAGGAGCTGGTTAACTGTAAAATTTGGTGGGAAGGTCCAAATTTTCTTTATAATTCTGATTGGAGTATTCCATCTGAGATAAATTTACAAACGGATTTGTTGCCCGAAGAGAAACAGTCATCACACAACAAATCTTCTGTTAATTCTGACTGTTTTAATGGGTTTTCTTCTTTCATTAGGTTGTGCAGAAGTTTTGCATTTGTATATAGGTTTGTGAATAATTCAAAGAAAAATTCCATGCAATTATCAGGTCCTCTGACAGTAGAAGAAATAAATAAAACCCAAATTTGTAAGTATAGAATAGTTCAAAAGGAGATTTTTTCAAATCAAATTTATGGTTTGCAAAAGGATAAATGTTTACCAAGTAATAGTCCTTTGTTAGGTTTAAATCCTTTTTTGGATTACTCAGGGTGGGGGAACGCTTGGAAAATTCGTTACTTTCATTTGATGCCAAGCATCCTGTTATTTTGCCATCTAAAGGTCATTTTATAACACTGATTGAATATGAACACAAGAGATGGGGGTCATGCAGGTTTCCGGGCTTTGTTGAATAGTTTGAGATAACGGGTTTGGATAACTGGTGGAATTCGGTGCATTAAGGGTATTTTAATAAATTGTGTAAAATGTCATAGGTTTAAAGCTATTGTTGCGCAACAGCTTATGGGAAATTTACCTGCTGAGCGTACTCAATTGACACATCCATTTTCAAATGTGGGCCTTGATTTTGGTAGTCCAATCCTTGTTAAGGAATCAAAGTTGCGTAAGTCGGTAGTTTCTAAGGCTTATATAGCCTTGTTTGTATGGCTACAAAGGCCGTCCACATCGAGCTTGTTTCAGATCTGTCTACAGAGAGTTTTATTTTGTCTTTGAAAAGGTTCATTTCTAGGCGGGGTAACCCCCACACCATTAGCAGTGATAATGCAACTTATTTTAAAGGTGCTAACAATGTTCTTCATGAATTATATAGGTTCTTCGAAAAGAATTCTGATAATGTTAGTGATTTTCTGTCTACAAAACAAATAATCTGGAAGTTTATACCCCCCAACAGTCCTCACTGGGGTGGCCTGTGGGAGGCAGGTACTAAAAGTTGCAAATACCATTTGAAACGTGTGGTTGGAAACAAAATTTTGTCTTGTGAGGTTCCTGCAACGGTTTTAGCCGAAATAGGGGCTATCCTAAACTCGAGGCTATTGCAGCCAATGTCAAATGAGGTTTTGGATATATCCTGTCTCACTCCAGGGCATTTTCTAGTTGGCCATCCACCAACTGCATTTCCTCAGAGGGATAAGATATACAAATGTTATGGAAAATCGTATGTATGAGCATATTTGTAAATGGCGCCATGATTTTTGAAAAACCTGGTCAAAGGACTATTTGAATTTATTGCAGCATCGGCCAAAGTGGAAAACAGCGAGACCTAATATAAAGGTAGGCGATTAAGTATTGGTGAAGGAGGATAACCTCCCACCTCTGGAATGGCTTTTAGCAAGGGTTACTTCTATAATTTATGGGAAAGACAATAGAGTAAGGGTAGTTCATATTAAAACTACTAAGGGTGAATTTACAAGACCCATTACAAAACGGTGTCTACTTCCGATTCAGAGTTCAGTTGAGGAAGAGACCTCAAGGGGGGGAGAATGTTGACTGCTCTACCCTGTATACGATTTCGAACGCACTCCCTGTTGAAAGATGTTGCTCCAAATCAAGTTGAAATGACGGTCAATGTCAACACCGAAACACGTTGTTTTCTTTTTGGTTGTTGTTGAGTTGTGGCTATGACAGCGAATAGTAATCAGCAATTACCAATGCTTTGGGTGTAGTATTCCGCATTTTATTACAATTGATATTTTTATGTTAATAACCAGTTTTCCTAAGTAAATTATTAAGAATTTGTTCAGCAAAGAAGGTTAAAAACATGTAAGTGTGCTGTAACCGTTCAATTAATCAGACCAGGGGGTCAATTCTTGAATATTCTCGCATACGAAAGTTGGTTCGAATTCGAATGACAGCAACGTAAATTGAATGGGGAACGTTCGAAATCATCTCAATTTTCGCATGCGAGATTATTCAAGAATTGGGCCCCAGAAGCATTGTTTGATGTGTTTGCTTTTCTTGTCTAATACCTATTTGATTTGCCCTTACCAGCGCAATTGGGTGTAATAGATTGGCTATTACTGGTCCTTTACAATACAGACAACATCACAGAAAAATCTAATAGTCCATGGTTGTACTAGTTACGAAAAAGGATGGTTCTACCAGGTTTTGTGTGAATTATAGAAGGTTGAATGACGTTACGAAGAAAGACAGCTATCCATTACTCCGGATTGACGATACCCTTAACACCCTAACAGGATCCAAGTGGTTTTCAACCCTGGACTTGAAAAGTGGATATTGGCAGGTGGAACTCAATAAAGAGGATAAAGAGAAGACCGCATTTACTGCAGAAAACGGCCTATATCAATTTAACGTCATGATGCCGTTTGGATTATGCAATGCACCTGCCACTTTTGAAAGACTTATTGAGTTAGTTTTGCGAGGACTGACTTGGGAAACGTGCATGGTATATCTGTATGATGTCATGGATATTGGCAAATATTTCGAAGAACACCTGTCGAATTTGAAGGAAGCTTTTGCCAGGATTCGAAGTGCCAATCTGCAACTAAATCCCAAGAAGTGTGTCCTATTCCAGGAAAAAGTAAACTTCCTCGGCCATGTCGTCTCATCAAAAGGAATAGAGACAGATCCAGATAAAGACCAAGCTGTGCGAGATTGGCCCAGACCAGAGAATGAACATGAACTTAGAAGCTTCTTGGTACTACCGCCAGTTTGTCAAGGATTTTCGGAAGATTGCGAAGCCTTTTCATGAACTAACTGATAAGAACGCTCGTTTTGATTGGATACCTGAAGTCCATTGGAAAGGCAGAGAAGAATTATTGTGTTACCCCAAAAAAAGAAACTTCTCAAGTATTGTCAAGACCTGCATGTACTATGTTTCCAGATAATAAAACGATCATAGACAAATAATCAGAACAGTAGACTGTTATCACTGAAACCTAACAACAAGCCAACCAAAGACACAAAAATGTTGATAACTCCCTGTCAAAAAAAGCAATTTCTCAAGTCTTGTCAAGACCTGCATGTTCTATTTCCAGATACCTAATAAAATTATCAAAAGGACAAACTGATATACTTACAATAAGCCAAAGGGTGAACAGATACAAAAATGTTGATAACTCCCTGCCAAAGAAGGCAATTTCGAAGGGGTAAAACCACCATCCCAGAATTAGTGCAAACAATTCCTCAAAGGGAAATTTCTTACGCAAAATTCCTCCAGATATCCCATCACAAATTCCTCCAAATACCCCACCACGAACTTCTCCAAATACCCCACAAATTCCTCAAAACAAGGGAAGTTTTGAAACTTTTTGCATGTAAAGAGGAAGGTGAGAAGCTGATTTTCCCAAAATTTTGAATTTTTCCAGTAGAAAATTACATAAGGAATCTTGGAAATTAACCTACAATAACTAAATTGATTGAAAATACAGTCTCACACATTTCAAGGTTTTCCTGGAAAACTAGTGAAGGGAAAATTTTGAAACTTTCCGCATGTAAAAAGGAAGATGAGAAGCTCATTTTCCCAAAGTTTTAAATTGTTTCATTGGAAAATAACAACATGAAAAATCTTGGAAATCAACCTACAAAAACTGAATTAGTTGAAAATACAGTCTCCCACATTCCAAAGTTTTCCTGGAAAACTCGAGGGAAAACTAGTGAAGGGAGAAATTTGAAACTTTTTGCATATGAAGAGAAAGGTTAGAAACTCATTTTCCCAGAATTTCAAATTTTTCCAGTAGAAAACTACAACATGAGGAATCTTGGAAATCAACCTACAATAACTGAATTAATTGAAAATAGAGTCTCACATATTTCAAAGCTTTCCTGGAAAACTAGAGAAGGGAAAATTTTGAAACTTTTCGCATGTGGAGAGGAAGCTGAGAAGCTCATTTTCCCAAAATTTCAAAATTTTCCAACGGAAAACAGCAACATGAAAAATCTTGGAAATCAACTTACAAAAAGTGAATTAGTTGAAAATACAGTCTCACACATTCCAAAGTTTTCCTTGAAAACTAGTAGAGGGAAAATTTTGAAACTTTTTGCATGTAAAAAGGAAGGTGAGAAGCTCATTTTCCCAAAATTCCAAATTTTTCCAGTAGAAAATTACAACATGAGTAATCTTGGAAATCAACCTACAATGACTGAATTAATTGAAAATACAGTCTCACACATTTCAAAGTTTTCCTAGAAAACTAGTGAAGGAAAAAATTTGAAACTTTTTGCATGTAAAGAGAAAGGTGAGAAGATCATTTTCTCAAAATTTCAAATTTTTCCAGTGGAAAACAGCAACGTGAAAAATCTTGGAATTCAGCTTACAAAAACTGTATTCCTTATTCTTTTGAATTTTTTAAATTTGGACCTGTAAATCATGTAGTGTAATTTTGAGGGGATTTCTTTAATAAAAATGAATATCCAACGTCTAATACAAAACTAATTTTTTTTAAAATTTCCATTTATTACTATTTCGTATAATGTGAACCTCAGTGACGTCATGACCCTACAATTTCCTTTAAATTCCTCATAAATTCCTCACAATTTCTCCCAAATTCCCCATAAATTCCTCCAAATTCCCTGTAAATTCCCCAAATTCTTATAAATTCGGATGAGTTCCTTTAAATTCCCCACAAATTCCTCTTAGTTTCCCACATTTTTGGCAAAGAATTCCTAGGTGGTTTGCCCCTTGGCAATTTCTCAAATCTTGTCAGGGCGTGCATGTTCTAAATCTCCAGATAATAGAATCATCATAGAGAAATTATCAAAAAGGAAGGCTGGTGTCACTGATGCCTAGCAATGAGTCTTCTGCAACTTCACTAACTCTTCTTAGCTGAAAAACGTTATTCCCTAGAAGGTTTATGAGTCCATAAATTATGAATTTCTTGTCTAAGGACTGTATATCTTAGGTCTTAGACCAAACAAATTGTTCCATAGATGTTTTCAGAAACTTAACCTTCACTTCCTGACATTGGACTTTGATAATCATTCCAATGTACTAGCCTTCACCATGGTAAACAGCATAGTATTGTTCTCTTTCTATTTTTATATAGGAAGGGTCATTTTCTGCATTTGAATCATCTTATTCGCAACTGCTTAAATTGAAGGCATTACCGCTAATGCTGTTAGAATCATGGACAAATAAATTTTTTGTTAGATGATGACATGTTTTTCAAAAATCCTGATAGCTTTTTGGTCTGGGTTACCTTTTTTCAATACAGTTTCTTGAAGTTTTTACGAGAGTTTTTGTACTATTATGTCTGTTGTTAGCTTGTAACTAGAATTTTTCCAAGCGTAAAAACAGCTGAACCAAATATCAACATATATGGTATATTTGGAATCATTTTACCGAGCAAATGATTAAACTCCACAAATCATAAAGATATTGGAACTCTATATTTTATTTTTGGATCTTGAGCAGGAATAGCAGGTATTTCTCTAAGAATACTAAGAAGAAAAAAATCTATCATTCTAGCCAAAAATATACAGGGTGTTCCATTTGAAAAATGCAAGTGTTTGTCATTGTGACAGTTGGCACCTGTCATTTGCCCATTTCGACAGAGTTTCCGGCATTAGTAAGATCTATTGAACATTATCACAGCTTTCTCTATGGCCGGAAGATCCTAGTTAGAACCGACCATTCTGCATTGCAATGGCTGCTCAATTTTAAAAATCTGGAGGGTCAAATAGTGCGTTGGTTAGAGAAATTACAAATTTATGGCTTCCAAATCAAACATTGCAAAGAAAGGAGTCATGCCAACGCCGCTAGCCTATCACGAAGACCATGTATTGACAGCTCATGCAAATTCTACCAAAAACAAGAGGAAAAGGAGGCAACCAAAAATTCTGGAGTCGTTCAACAAATAAGGCTTAAGAATTCCGACAACGACGATAATACTGATGAGGACATTACGAGAGAAGACTTCGAAGAACAACAAAATATGGATAAGGAATTGAAAATGGTGCGAGGCTGGTTACAAGAAAGATAACGACTTGGATAGCAAGAAATTTCCAGTTTGAGTCAAACGGTGAAGGGATACTGGCTGCAATGGGACTCGTTGTGTCTGCGAGATGACTTGATCACTCGTAAATGGGAGAGTCCAGATGGAAAAGACCTAGTATATCAGACCGTTGTGCCACAGAGTGGACAGAGTGCTTCAAGAACTGCACAGTAGTAGGAGTGACGGACACTTTGGAGTCAATAGGATCTTGGCTCGAGTAAGAAATAGGTACTATTGGATCAACTGTCGTAGGGATGTTGAAGAGTGGTGCAAGGGATGCGATCTCTGTGCTTCTGAGAAAGGACCCAAGACGCGATCCCGTAGAGAAATGAAGCAGTACTTGTCCGGTTCCCCTTGGGAGAGAATTGCTGTGGATATTACAGGTGCTTTTCCTACGACGGAGTCAGGGAATAAGTACCTCATGGTTGCTATGGACTATTTTTCAAAGTGGCCAGAAGTAGTTCCCATACCCAATCAGGAAGCAGTTACTGTTGCGGAATCATTGCTGGAAAACGTCATATCCAGACATGGGGTACCGATGGAGCTTCATACCGATCAGGGAAGGAATTTTGAGTCCGAGGTATGGAAACAACTGATGAGGTTACTGGGAGTTATAAAAACGAGGACGACTGCACTTCACCCACAGGCGGACGGAATAGTCGAGAGGACCATCAATCAATACCTCTCGATGTTTGTAGATGATCACCAGCGAGACTGGGATAAACTAGTGCCTCTTTTCCTTCTGGCTTATAGAAGCTCTCAGCATGAGTCCGCTGGCTATACACCATCTATGCTGTTGACTGGGAGAGAAATGAAGCTTTCAGTAGATTTAATATTTGGCAGGCCTCCAGTCGATGAAGACGAGGCTGTACTTCCAGTTTACGTGCCTGATCTCCAGGACAGACTTAGAGTGGTACACGATTTCGCCAGAAATAAGCTACGTCTGATCAGTGATAGAATGAAGATGAGACTCGACCAACGGCAGTCACTGAACACCTTTAATGAAGGCGATGCTGTCTGGTTGTATCAGCCACAGTGAAGAAAGGGACTCAATCCGAAACTGCAACGACCATGGGAAGAACCATACCGGGTCAGGATACAACTTACACCCAAAGCCAAGCCCAAGGTCGTTCACATGGAGAGGCTGGCTCCATACAAGGGCAAGAGCGCACCGACTTGGATGCGATTGGGATAAGCTGTTCGGGGTGAAGAGCTTTGAGGAAAGGGGCAGTGTTATAAATCCGCCACTCGTACTTTCTGATTGCCCCCTGTAACTACAGTTAAAGAAGCCAGAAATATCAACTATTTTCAAGATGAACTGAATTACGAGAATTCGAGCGTGTTAGAGAAGGACGCGCATAACTGTAAAAGCCTCGGTGCGCACCGCGTAAGGATCAGTTTTGATTGACGTACGACAAGTGCAGTAAACTGTAAAGTCAGGAATTAAATAACCACGTTCGGAAATAATCGTGCCGTATAAGCTTTATTTGGAGTAGTTCGGAGTGTGAAGTAGTGTTAAATTTCGAGTGATTTTTGTTATTGTGTTTAATAAAGTTCGTTAAAGTTCGAAAAAGTAGTCTCACTTATCTGCGAACCCGTAAAAGTAACACTATGTTGTTCATCATCTTTGTCTTATTTCAACCTTTGTTATTTTACTTTGTTTTTTTTAATTTAGGATTTTTATTCAATGTACCTAAACTGCTTTCTTCTCTCTATCTTATCATTTATTTCTGTCATTTCTTCTTGATTCTATTATCTCATTTTAATTTAAAATCTTGTTTTTTTTTCAAATAACTGATTATTTGTTCTCAATCTCAATCGCATCAATACAGGATGAGTGGTTGGTCATCGAACCCAGAACAGTTAGTAGGTTCATACCACGTCGTCTGTATTTGTGAAGACAATTTCTTAATTTGGTAAGACGGGTAACGATGCGCTACTATTCATTTACAAAGGAAAAAAAGTACCGCTTTGTATTACTAAATTTCCTTTGTAAAAGTTGCGCCATTGTAAATAAAGTCAGGTTTATAAAATATATAGGTACTTAGTAAAGTAAGAGTCTATAAGTGAAAGCAATGTTAGATTTTGCTCCAAATATTAGTGGTACTCCCCATAGGATTATTTAATGAAGATAGTCGAGAAGGTTTGGAATTCATTTTGAAAACAACAGTTAATGAAAATAAGTTAGGGAAGCTAAATATGGATTGCAATAACGAAAATTTGTATTGGAAAACTCCCACGTTTCACGTGCAAAATAATAGAGATGCGACTTTTTATGGTCACGTTCAGGGACAAACAAACAAATATCTACGACAGCATAAACATTCATGACGTTTTGTTTTTAGGTGGGTTTCTACAAAGTCCACCTTGATTCTTTATCTGGCGAACAGCTGTTTCACTTCAACTAATAAATATTATACTTGGTTTGCGATATAACAATGCTTAGTTCAGGAATGATATAAAAAAAATATGTCGGATTCATAAAATAGCAGTAGGTATTGCAAGAAGCCCAAGAAATTTATACCTGGGCCGCAAAAAAATTTGCGAGGGCAGGCTGATTTTTCCAGGGCTGATTGGGGAGTGTGTCCTGAGTATTGAGCCAAAAAATCACACTCGAAAGCCTTGTGCGTTCGGCCCTATTGGTCTTTTTCTTATTTATTTTTTTTCGATAAAATGACCTCTACAAAACTTATAGATAATTACATTCTGATCAACTTTGCCTCATGACTTTTATTGCTTGCTATTTTACTTTACGCGCTGTGGCCATTTTAGTGCTTCAGAATTCGCAAAAAAATTAAATAGCAAACCTGCAGATTATTATACCTGATAAAATTCTCTATTACTTTGCTTGATGATATTTTATTGTAACTTTATTTCTTTCGCTTGTACGGCCTTTTAGGCATTTGAAAAATTTTATTTGACCTGGTGGACATAGCGTTTCTAAGGATTTGACACATTTTGCAGGTAATTATTAGTGATGTAATGTATCATTTCTTGGACTGAAACCGAAAACGTAATGGAGTACATTACCAGTAATTTTATTAAAGTTACAATAATCTGCAGGTTTGCTATTTAATTTTTTTGCGAATTCTGGAGCACTAAAATGGCCGCAACGCCTAAACTAAAACAGATAGCAAAAAAAGGCATGAGGCAAAGTTGATCAGAATGTTCTTATCTACAAGTTTTGTTAAGGTCATTTTGTCGAAAAAAAATAAATAAGAAAAAAGCCAATAGGGCCGAACGCACAAGG